GAAATCTTTCTGTAAGGAAGACATAGAAATGATGAGGTTTATTTAGACAAGAGTGTTCATGATCATCTGGACTCACGGCCCTTCATCGAATCAAGGATCATTCCCAATCCCAAAACCACATGAAGGTGGGCCGAAGCTCTGCCTCTGAACAAAACTTCAGCCTTCGAAGACTTTTTGTGTTTTAATGAAAACTTCCAGTTATGGATGAGTCTGGATCCTTCTGGTTTCGTCAGATCTCAGTTGGAGGTTTCGTCACCGGATACGAGGCCGTTTTTTAAGCCGGTCTCCAGTAAGAGTAGAGCGGTGGTTTCCTGTTAATAGTGTATCTATATGTGAATATTTTGAGCAGCTGGTGTGCGCTGACCTTCCTTCAGCCTGCAGGGTTCGATTGTACATATTGAACCTGCAGAAAGAAGCCGTGCTCTTCCTCTCAGATACATTTATGATTGAACTCGTTCAACCCACTAAAGTTATTTTGTTTAGTCTGATTTATCAGCCACACCTGACCTACAGAGGGTTTAGTGTTGAGTGCTTCCTGAGGCCGTTTGACGGGGGAAGCTAGACTGTGCAGGTGCAGGCCCCCACAAAGAGAGGGGCCGGTCAGTTCTTCAGTGTTAGCAGCATTTAGTTACAGGACAGGATTATTTTATGGAGGAAGCTCACTGACACCAAAGCAAACAGGTACCAACATCACTTGATGTCTGTGAAGGTTCTCAGTCATCCAGGTCATCGTAGTCAAAGGAGTTTGCAAAGAAAAGCGTCTGGACTTCTTTAAGTTACTTTCAAGTAACTTAAGTTACTTTCAAGTAACTTAGAGAAGTCCAGACGCTTTTCTTTGCAAACTCCTTTGACCAGTTCACTTGATGTGGTTTTGGATGTATGTGCCATGTGGTGTTACCATGAAGTATTATCCTCGTGGTGCAGCGGTCGTAACGCCGGCCTGCCGTGTAAACAGTTGTATTTGCTGCTGAAGGCTCCATAAGGTCAAAGTTCACGCCGCATGTCAGTGAGCAGGTTTGTGCTGTAAGAATATTCCTGCTGGAAGCACCCGTTCACCGGTCTGGACATAATGATGTTCCTGTGAGGATGTAAGCACAAATCTGAGGTCAGGGGTCAGAGGTCGGAGGCGGTGCTTTATGTGGACGAGCTGCAGTTCTGCTTCCAGCGTTTGCACAGTGTTGTACAGTTTCCTACGATCACTCATCGTGCCTGAACATGTCTTCATTTGGGAGGAGCGGCGGTCGGGTCAAAGGTCAGGCCTGAGGTTTCAGTGAGACATGTTTGTAAATAGAGTCTCTATAAGCTCTTTGATGAAGTGTCTTTATTCCCAGTTAAAGAGAAAGACTCGCTGAGCGTTGGTCGCCATCGGCGACGCAGACACAAAAGCTTTGTAGTTTTTTTTAGAGGCAGATTTTTTTTGCCGTCACCACTTTGCACAGTTTGACCATTTTATCGTCCTTTCATTCAGAGGCTGATGACATGACCTCGTGGGAGGATGCTGTCCAGTTCTGCTGCTTTTTCTGTTCTTGCTTTATTGTCACGACTCTGAGTCTGTCCTGGTCCAGACCAACGCGCTCTCACATGGCGAGCAGGGTTCGTGAGCAGGCCCACACCAAAGTCTTCACCTGCTAAAATGTCT